ACAACCAATGGGCCCCCATGGGCGTATGGGGCTCTGGCCCTTATCCGATTGTCACGAGGCTCAAGAAACCCACGCTAGCTATTAACAGCTCCCAAACCAGTCTTTGAGGGTCCTGCACTGATCTCGGATGGCCCTTCAATAGCGGTCAAGCGCCCACATTGACCGCTGAGAACCCACATTGATCTCATTTGAGGGCCCCTAACCCGACCTCAAGGGCCCAGCCGGCGTCTGAGAGCCTCACACCGGCCTCTGGTGGCCTCATTTCTGTCTCTGGGGTCCCAAGAGTAACCTTTAGGTGCCTCTGAGGGCCCCGCACTGAATTCTGAAGACCCGATGCCGGCCTCTAAGGGTCTGCATCGGCCTCTGAGGGTCCATCTTGGCCTTAGGGGTCCAACGCCGGCCCCTGCCAGTCTTTTAGGGCCCCCACACTGACCTCTAAGGGCCCAATCTGGCCTGTAAAGACCCACATTAGCCTATGAGATCCTTGCACGGGATTCTGAAGACCTGATGCCGGCCTCTGAGGCCCATCTTGGTTTTTGAGGGCCTTCTGCTGGTCTCTGGGGTCCAACACCGGTCCATGCCGGTATTTTAGGGTCCCACATTGACCTCTGAGGACCCCGCACTGGATTCTGAAGATCCGATGCCGGTCTCTAAGGGTCCGCATCGGCCTCTGAGGGCCCACCTTGGCCTATGAGGGCCCTCCGCTGGTCTCTTGGTTCCAAGTCCCGCCCATGCCGGTTTGTTACGGCCCCACACTGACCTCTAAGGGCCCATGCTGGCCTGTAAGGACCCGCATTAGCCTCTGAGGGCCTTGCACTGGATTCTGAAGACCCGATGCTGGCCTTTGAGGACCATCTTGGTTTTGAGGGCCTTCTGCTGGCCTCTGGGGTCCAATACCGGCCCATGCCATTTTAGGGTCCCACACTGACCTCTGAGGGCCCATGCTGGCCTGTAAGGACCCACATTAGCCTCTGATGGCCCAAGTCGGCATCTAAAGGTCTCATCCTGCCCTTTGCAGGCCCTGTACTGGTCTCTGAGGGCCTTAACCCTCGCCGGCCGAGGGGGGGGGGGGCGGGTGCCGCCCCTCCATATTTTTTTTTTTCGCGATAGCTCCGAACACGCCAGCGATAGAGAGCTGAAGCTTGGCATACTTGACCTTTGAATCAAGCCGGATCTTTTGACACCAACCGCATTTTCGGGTCAGATCAGGTCACTGACCCATGAGGTCATAAGTGAACCTCTGCACGGTCTTCAGATGTCGCCACTGTGCAACGCCCTCGGAGATTTCACAGGGAAATGAACCTCGGAGGACCTAGTATCCATTAGGAATCTCACAACTTGTACCTCTCGGATTTCTCCTAAAGGTCATATGAGGTCAGGTTATGTTCGTGACCTCACCATTAGGTATACCTAAGTCAATGGGGATAAACTGAAAACTTTTTTTCTGGCGCCGGGAACGATCTCCAACTATCTCAAGCACACCGAATCGTGATTTCATGCACTCCTTGCAAGGTTCGATGCGTCACTTTTGCAATGTTGACCTTGCGCGACATCATTTATGAAGTCATGGGTCAAATTAGTTTTTCGTCAATAACTACCGATCAAATTGAGCTAGCGAGTCGGGAAAGCCACCAATGGGCTCAGGAAGACCTGCCGAATCGAATGATATGCGACATGACCTCCTTAAACCAATTTTGTGACCTGGGAGCGCTGATCGACCTGACCGTGACCCGAGGTCAACACCCTAAGTTTACATCACCCAAACAAAAAGCATATCTTTCGACGCGCCTGAGAGAGGCGAACACGATGCTGGCAAAATCGCGGCTCTGCGGCCGTTTTTTTGCGAAGTTATTCACCAAAAACGGAACCGTGCCTTGAGGCACTTGACCTGACCTCAGAGGTCACTGGTTGACCTAGAACCTTAAAATTGGGTATCGATCCTTGCGTCTCGTAACGGCGCACACGCTCGTTTTTTTCCGCGACGCGCTAGCTCCACCTGGGGCGAAACGGCGAGGGGGTCGTACCCGCCCCCCGCCCCCTCGGCCGGCGCGTATATGTAGAAAACCTATAGGTCCGGGCCGTCGAGGGTTAAACTGGCCTCTGAGGGCCCAGACCGGCCTCTAAAAGTCCCACACTGGCCTCTGATAGTCAATCAGCCCAGTTGCAGTGGTCGCTGATATAAAACCTCTTAAAAACGTTAGGTGTAGGTCTGGCTGAGCCTAGCTGGGCCGTTCATGCTGATTTTTATAAGTATATTGAAAAGACTCGCTTTGCACGTTTCACACTTGCTCGTAATGAAAAAGTTGTTGGACGCCTCTGGAATTTGCATGGGTGCCAACGGCTGCGGAGGACAGGGGAACGCGTCCATCAGTTTGAGTTTATGGACGGGAGTCTCCCTGAAATTTTAACCAATTTAGTTTTTTTTTTGTCTCGATTTTCTTTTTACCTCTGAGCATGTTTGCGAAAACAAAGTGGCCGAAATCCGAGGAGAAATTGGATTTTGGGGGTAGGTTAGGTTTTGGACCTCTGGGACCCTGCCCCCCCCCCCACTTTCGAAAACGTTCCTACGCCTATGGCTGTTATTGAGGATGTCGACACATGTGTAAATCGGTCAAGTGGTTGCTGAGATATGCAGGGTGTCACTGTCCCAGAATTACCCAGACTCTCTTCTCAGCCGTCTAACTCCAAGAAAAACAACACTTGTTTTTTGTTTTTATTTGCCAACATAACCACCTTTAGCAGCAATGCAGAGACGCATTCGGTTTGGCATTCCGGCGACTAGGTTCGCCAGCACAGATGGACGAATGCTGGCCCATGCCCGCTTGATCTGCTTCATGAGTCCACTGATGCTGGTGGCAGGTTTCTCTTGATCCAGCATTTGTTGCATGATGCTCCAGATATTTTCGATCGGATTTAAGTCCGGACTATTTCCTGGCCATGCATCCTTCTCCCCGAATCCTGGCAAGTTCTCCCTGCACCACTGCTGGGTTGCTTTGGCGGTGTGAGGTGGCGCACCGTCCTGCATGAAGATGGCTTCATCCTGATTCTCCACCAGTTTTCTTTCCAAAATTGAACCGTTTGTGGCCGTCCGGTTCACGGCGTCAAGTCCCTCTTTTGCCAAGATGTTCTCGCGGTAGTACTGGCCGTTTATGGTGGTGTTGGGAGGCACCACGTCCAGATCAGAAAGAGCACAGTGACTCATCATTCCCCACACATGCACTTTCTGTGGGTTCTTGACGGTTTCTACCGCTGGGACGTTTGCACTATCTGACGCCCATACGCGGTCGTTTTGGCGATTAGGGGCGTGGAAAAGTTCAAAAGGGGACTCATCTGACCACATCACGCGTTTCCAGTCGCTTTCGGTCCATTTCTTGTGATCCTTGGCGAATTTCAGACGATGCATGCGCTGTTTCTCTGTTAATTTTGGCCGTTTTTGCAGTTTGAAGGCTCGCAGTCCCAAGTTTCCGCGGAGGTGACGGTGCACAGATGACTTCGAAGTCGTGTAGCCAGGCCCTGGTTAGTCGGAAGGCCAGTTTCCGTATTGATTGATGTCGCTTGTTAGCCGCTAACGCGATAACTCTCTTCGCGACCGAGTGCAGGGATGGTTTTCGGCCGCGACCGGGCTTGTTGACCAGCTCTTCTCCCGCTTTAGCACGCCGCAACCACACGTGAAGTTGGGCTCGACTGATGCCCAGCTGCTTCCCGACACTTTTGGGAGACTGTCCGGCAAAAACCATGCCAACAGCCCTGTTTCGGAGCGCAGGGCTGTACTCTTTGCCCATAATTGCCTGTGTGGAGCTTGGCAGGGAAGCAAAAAACAACTGCCCACCGTTGACCTCGCCCAGACACTGGCCGAGGTCACGACCCGACCCCGGGATGGCGTGGCTCTCAAGGTCAGTCGCTTAGGGACGTATCATAAAAGTATTACGCCTACAACTTTGATCATTACGGTACAGCGACGATTTTTACTGTAAAATACGAGTCTGGGTGATTCTGGGACACCATAATTATGGCTTCATAATTCTGGTGTAAGCTTTGCAATTCATTCAGGTGTAAGCTTTGCTTAATTCAGGTGTAAGCTTTGCTTAATTCAGGTGTAAGCTTTGCTTCGTAATTCATTGTAAGCTTTGCAAAAGCGTGACCACGCTCATACTCCGGAATTTCCGGATATCTACGAAGACTACGCTCTCTTCGCTCGCTCCGTAACCAAATACCTACGGCCCAGACCTATTTTGCTGGCTGGGCAGCAGCGCGTGGAAAGCCAGGGGCCCCAGCGGGGGACGGGTAAATAATATTAAAGGAAATAGTTCACTTTCACGAAATTATTTTTTGCAACGGATTTATGATTTTTTATGTTCAAAATAATCAGCAAAGAAAATAAAACCTTTTTATAACAAAATATTATTTTCTATATTTTGATATAGGAAGAACTTTTCAGTTTCTGTAAGGCACACGCGATCCAGTATGAAAAGAACATGGGTCCCGAAAATTCTTCAGAAACAGAGAAATTATCGCAGCCACCGGCATTTGGGCGACCTGCTCGATCTGATAATGTTCCCCTGAATGTCCTAATTGATCAGTACGAGAATTTCTCTAGAGTTCTCGTAGATAATTTCTCTAGTTTCTGAAGAATTTTCGGGACCCATGCTCTTTTCATACTGGATGGAAATATATGCAAGGCACACATCCTCAACGCAAGACACCTTTTTCGGGACGAGAAATAGAATATCTTTGCCTAGGGTGATCGTTGGGCTGTAAAAGCTCCTGATTTATGCTCGTCTCAGCCCAAGCTACGGAACTGCTATTCCAGTTCAAAACCCATGTTAAAAAGTGAACTATTTCCTTTAAGGCGTCCCACTGGTGGGGCTGATCTGGTAAGCATCAGCGTGGGACGCTATGGCTGCGCTGGCCGCTGCATCACGACAGCACGGCACCTACTTCCGTAGGAGTCTAGGAGATGTGTATATGCGACTACTCCGGCCGGCTGCCAGGCCACCTACCTCCGTACGAGATGTGTATCTGCTCCGGCTGCCACTCGTCGGTAGCCTGGCAGGACAGCACCACCGCCGCGAGGCAGAGCAGCTGCCACAGCGCACACCTGCTGCACAGGTTTCGACCGCGACCGCCAGCCTGAACGGGGGCAGCGCGTCGCGTCACCTCGAATAGTCACTGGCGGCCGCAGGGGCGCGGGCATAGGGCCATGCACATCTTTCTTTAGCGGTTAGCACCCCCGCCCCCACGAACGTCCTGGCTATTGGCACTATTGATGTGCTGTCCCAGGGAAGCATTTTAGGCTGGTCTGTTGTCAGGGCCAACCCAATAGACAAAACTGTGTAGTGTGTTTATTCCAAGTTCAGTCTACGATTGTGACACAAAATATTCTTACAGATAGGTGACACATACCTACCTATTACCTACCCAACGAACGAAAAAATCTACTTACCATTGCCGATATGAGCGCTGCCCGTCACCAGGTGAAAATGCGCCGACAAGGTTATATAACCTTGCTTATAGATGTGTCACAGCAAGCTCAACGAACTTCACCTGCTGTGCAAATGCCCGTTCCCGGGACACACGCGTTTTGCAAACCCAAACAAACCCAAACTACTCAGCTGGTTCTAGTTCATTCTTACTGGTAGGCCTCTCAAAGAAATCTCGGTATAATGCGTATAATGCATATCATGTTGAGCTTGAGCTGCCTACATAATAAAAGGTCTCTTTCGTAATCAATTTTTCCTCTTGAAGTCGGTAATTCGATCTTCATGCCTTCCTCGTACTTATAATAACAAATCAAAGAAAAAGCTATTACAGCTAGGACTGTTTCGACATTGTTCTACATATCCTGGTTTCGACCCATAGACCGTTCTCTTACGATGCATTTCTAAGCAGCAAATATTCTGTTTTTTTTTTTGCTGTATTTGTTCTTTTTCCCCTTTTCCTTCCACAATTTTCATAGAATAACTTATTTCAACAGCTGATTGCGAGAAAGCTGTAGCTACAAGTCTGCCGCAATTGGGGCAATTGTAACTGTAAACAGCGCAAAATGTAAACAACCATGATCACATCACATGTGTTTTAGGACGCCGGTGAAAACAGGGCGCCGGAGGGCATATTGTCACGTGACATTTGGAGCTTCTCCTTCCCCGTGAACCTTCTACATGCTTAATGTCATGTGTAAATTTCACGAACCTTGATCAAATCGCCCCAGGGGCGATTTGTCTTCACCGTCGTCTTCACCGTCGTCCTGTTTTTAAACTTGTATTGCTATTTTTTTTGTAAATCAGGGACGCTCGTCGCTGACAGCTGAATGCCCCACGGCCCGGCGACCTCCTCTTTCGATTGTACCTTGACCTATACCCTCTCAATGTTGATGATGCTTTCATATACACTGTGATGATGATAAATATAGGTACATAACATACCTACATGTACATACTACAGGTACATACATGATAATTGATAAGTACTTGATGTTCCTACAAATCCTGCCAAAAACATAAGTGATCTTCCCGGAAACCAGGGTGCAGGGGGGGCCTTGGGTGCAGGTAAGTGATGTGATGATGTAATGCGAATTTGAATTTGATGTGATAGTTCGTCAAGTTCAGGTTACCCACATGATTGGTATCTTTCTAGTACAGCAATCTAACCTCATGGGAGGAATATTTTTGTCTACCTAGGTATGTAGGTAGAATTTCAAAGGATCTTTTTCCTCGATAGTTAATTCAAATTGATTTTTAAAATAAATTTTGTTCAAACATTTTGATAGGAAGGATTCAGAAGGACAGACCCACCTCTAAGCGAAGCTTGTAGCGATGACCCGACCCTCCAAAGTTAAACGTGTGCAGTGCGCACATAGCTGCGCACAGCCGGTCCCTTCACTGACTTCGCCTAGCTGCGGCCTGCCACCAACTGCAACCATACCTGTCAGGAGGCCCATAAATTGAAATGTCAAGCGCCCGTCGCGCTTCGAACCCGGACTGTAATGCGTGCTCTCACCAGTCACCAGTGGAGTCCAATGCTCTACCAACTGAGCTACGGGATCGGCAAAGTGAACTAAATTGCAATTACATATAAAGCAAATATGAGGTAGGGATATTGTTTTGCAAATTTTCCCGTCATTCTTAAAGGATATAGTTCACTTTTAACATGGGATTTTGAACTGGAATAGCAGTCTCATAGCTTGAGCTGAGACTGAGACTAGCACAAATCAGGAGCTATTATGGCCCAATGATCACTTTAGACAAAGATACCCAATTTCTTGTTATGCAAAGAGTGCCTTGCAGAGGAATGAGTGCCTTGCTGAGGAATGCAGCCACATCATTGTCAGCCAATCAGCATGCTGCTCACAGCCAATGCAGCATGTGTAGGTAGGTTTGAACAGGAAGAAAGCAATATGATTGGTAATACGCGTTTACCAATCATATTGCATCGTTCCTGTTCAAAACTATGGTTCCATACCATAATATGGTATGGTTCCATAACCATAATATGGTATGGTTCAGTGGCGTATCCAGAAATCAGCAAAAGGGGGGCATGGTGCTCGAGGGGGCGACTTTTCCCCTTGAGAGGGGCGCCATTGTCAGCTCGCGACAGGGGCGTCAGTCTAAAATGTAATGTCATGTTCAATGTTCATGCATGATTTACTAGGTGCTGCAAAATACGAGTATAGAAACTAGGTTTCGCTGATTTGTCATAAAATCCAATCAATGCAATTTGCAGCCTGGTGTTGTTTTATAAAAAACTTTGATCTTGATGAATATTTAGCACGATATAGGAAACGACTACAAGCTCAGGCTACCTACATTTTATTCTAAAAAAAAAACGCATCCATGCGAATTCGAAACGGTAAAACATACATTGATCGATGAACACATTTTTTATTCTTTGCAAAAAAATTATGCAGGTTTGAGGTTCACTCACTGATCCAAGGTGACCTATGGGCTGCAGCCTGTGGTTGACCGGAGTGGCCGTGCTTAGAATCTAAGACCGCACGTAGTATGAAGGATTCATGCTGCGACTTATTGCCCAAATTGGAATCCCAGGAAAGACTTGAACATTTCAGAAATCAGACCATAAGATCCACCATGAGATCCCAACTGATTGTCATACTAGCAGCGACTGCAGTCAGAGGCGACCGAACGCTTATATACGTTCTGGATTTTTTCTCCACAAATCACCTTAAATTCGATGTCTATAATGCGCGTAGCCCCTAATTGTCGACATGGGTGACTGCATGAGTGCCAGATGGATGAGGCGTGAGACTGTCTCATATAGTGGCACTAAGGTAAAGGATGTCCTCGGCCGACGTAGTATAGAAGACGACCTTTGATGATGTGAGTGTGCATGATCGACTTTGAATAAGCGCCATAGATACCTGCTGATCTCACCGAACATTCGCCCTGCGTAATCCCCAGACAAAATATCTACATTGAGGGACAGGTCAATTTTGCGACCTCTCCATTACCTATCAGTTAAACCGCGCTGTGCTGGTGGCCTGTGTTTTCCGTGTCATGCTGGGGCAGGGCGTATTTTAACATGTTAACTGGGTCGGCAATTGCCGACCCAGTCACGGAGAATGCCGACCCAGTGACAGCCATAGGCGGTCCCAGGGGGGGGGGGGGGCACGGGGGCCATGGCCCCCCTTTGGTGCTGAAAGGTGGGGCCATACTATCTTTTGGCCCCACCTTTCAGATCGATCAAAAGTCCTAGAAAAGCTTTTTGTATGTTTCATTTTCTCTCTTGCGCCATCAAAGGACGTAAATTTCACTTATGAGTGGGCTCAGTTTTGCATTCTGTCAATTTGGCGGTCAGCGTCGCTGGCACCGGTTCACGAGTATGGCCGGATCTTATATGGAATATCAGCGTGGGTTTACTTGAGGCTCTCGTAAGCCCAGCAATGGCTGGCATGAGACCCTCTTCGCCAGTGGCGGGTGGGTCCTGCCAAATGAGCGTGGCTCTACGACACATAAGACCTCAGGGGTTGGTGCTGTGCACCTCAGAAGCCCGGTGATGACGCCGTATGCCGGCTTTGTTTCTTAAGGATTAGCGTGGGACCTCCGGGGCCTGCATAGAGTTTGCATGAGCTAGTATGTAATCTCAGAGGCCTGTATGTAATGTGTACACAGTGGCGGTCGCTGGGGGGGGGGGGCATCAGGGCCATGCCCCCTCCCCAAGGCACATAAAGGGGGCCATCATATCATTTGCCCTCCCTCAATCAACCGATGGGCCCCCATAGGTGTATGGGGCCCTGGCCCTGATTCGATCGTCACGAGGCTAAAAAAAAAACACGCCCAGCTATTAATGTAGCTCCCACACCGGTCTTTGAGCGTCCTGCACTGACCTCTGAGGGAACTTCAGTGGCGGTCAAGCGCCCACGTTGACCGCTAAGAGCCCACATCGACCTCTGAGGCCCCACATCTGGCCTGAGGGCCCCTAACCGGCCTCACGGGCCCCAACCGGCGTCTGAGGGTCTCACACCGGTCTTTAATAGCCTTGTTGCTGTCTCTGGTGTCCCAAGACGAACATTAATGTGCCAATGAGGGCCCCGCACTGGCTGCTGAAGACCCGATACCGGCCTCTAAGGGCCTGCATTGGTCTCTGAGGAGGGCCCATCTTGGCCTTTGAGGGCCATCTGCTGGCCTCTGGGGTCCAACGACGGCTCATGCCGGTCTTTCAGGGCCCCACGCTGACCTCTGAGGGCCCCATGTTGGCCTGTAATGAGTAAGGACCCACATTAGCCTCTGAGAGCCGAAGAGCCCAACTCGGTTTCTGATGGTCTCAAACTACTGGCCTTTGCAGTCTGCAGGCCCTGTACTGGTCTCTGAGGGCCCTAAACTGGCCTCTAAGTGAAAACATACATGGGTGGGCTTCTGAAGATCACAGGGCTCACGCAGACTCCTGCACAGCCTTACGTTGGTCCTGATCGAGATTACTTTACGTCCTGATGGTCCCGCGCAGATTCCCTAATATTTCGACGTCGGGACCCCATGAGCAGGTGTGTGGGGCTGGCAGAGACTGATGAAGTCCTTAGGGCTCAGGGCCAGTCTTTTTAGCAGTAGGACTATAAGACAGGTTGAGTGAGCCCCAATAGAGCCGTTGCGAAGCCCCGCACGAGTCGCGCGCGGCCCTCAGATGCCAATTTTGAAAACCAGGAACCTGTGGGGCCGGGGTCTCCAGAGGTCGATGTAGGTACCTACTTTCTCCCGCCGACACACATATGGGTAAATGTCATGGTTTGAAAATGCTCCCTGGGTAATTCACATGCTTGTTCAAAGCAAGAGGTATCTGTACTTTTCCGAATTGTTTTATAGTGGTAAGATCATGAAGCCGCGTGCCCGACCTTCCAGTATATGCTACACCGATCCGTCGCCATGGTGCAGTGGCCCGACCGGTGGAAACACCGTGGGACGGGAAATGGAACTGGTGATTTTGCCTTAAATTGAGCTTAAAGATTTCACGCAAGAATGAGGCGGATAAAGCATAAGTAATGCCAACTTTTTCGGCGCCTCGTGGACGTAAAAAATAGCCGATCACCCCCCCCCCCCTCCGATGACGGATAAATGTTATGTCCCGCGAGTGTGACTTTGGCCCCCCCCCCCCCTTTTGCTAGCGGATGCGACCGCCAGTGGTGACAGCCGTTTGCCGACCCAGTTGCCGCCCCCTCTAGGATGCAGCACGCACATGCAGGCTAGGTGCCGTCATTCATAGTGATGCTGCTGCCCTCCGAAATGATAATGCCGCCTCTTAAAGTGAAGCAGCCGTCTATAGAAAGTGATGATCCCGCAACTCAATGTGACAGTGCCGCCCCTAGTAGCCCCACTCAATGTAATGGTGCCGCCCTTCTAAGCATCTGTGGAGCCCCTCAATGTGATGACGCCGCCCCTCAAGAAGATGATGCCGCCCCTTTCAGTATCGGTGGCGCCCCTCAATGTGATGGTGCCGCCCTCAAAGTGCCGGTGGCGCCCCTGAATGTGATGGTGCTGCCCGCAAACGAGTCGGTGGCGCCCTTCAAAATGATGCTCAGCATGGGTGTAACTTTGTATACTTTCGAGGTCCCATGTGGGACCCCAATGCGAACATTTGGGACCCCAATTGTCATTTTGGGACCCCAATAGTGGAGGCCCCCGAGACGCACCAGCCACTACAAATGGAGGTCCGATATTCATATAGAAGGTTCTCTGTATAAATAGGAGGCCCCTTAGATAAATAGGAGGCCCTGTTGGACATATGGGAGGCCCCCTGGACAAATAGGAGGCCCCCTGAACAAGTAGGAGGCCCCCTGAACAAGTAGGAGGCCCCCCGGAAAACAGGAGGCCCCCTGGAGAAATAGGAGGCTCTCTGGACAAGCAGGAGGCCTCCTGGACAAATAAGAGGCCCCTAGACAAATAGGAGGCCCTCTGTACAAATAAGAAGCTCTCTGAACAAATAGGAGGCCCCATGGACAAGTCAGAGGCCCTCTGTACAAATAGGAGGCCCCCTGCAAAAATAGGAGGCCCCCTGGACAAATAGGAGACCCTAGACCTAGACAAACAGGAGGCCCCTTTCA